TTTTGGGATTGGACTATTTCCTATCTCCCTTTCTAAGTACCCGAGCACTTTATACCTTCCCAGGCATCATACATTTTAGAGGCAAGCACTTTTAAAATGGGTTTCCATCTAAACTCAGCCACGTTTTTAGTGCACGGTGAAATTCATTTGAATAATAGGCTTTATTTTCTATGTGCTTTCAGCAGAATTGTGAGCAAGGAAAGAAAACAAGGCAGATTTGTAGGGTAGCTGCAAAGTGAAAAATATACATTTGGATGAGTGATGGCCTGTTTTTTTTTTTTTTTTTAATTCCCCTACCTCTTGTGGATACTTCCCCAGAGTTTCATGGATGGGGAGGAAGGGGTAGCTCTTGTCCTTGAATTCACATCAGGCAGTGTCATTGAACCTTGTGACTCTTCACTATATAGATTCTAGGGGAAGAAAACATCTTGAGATTTGCAAAGTCTAAAGAGGCCCAGCAAAATGGAATCCATTTGCTTAAAATGGTAGGGAGTTTATTTACTGGATTAAGTGTGAAGTATGTTGATAACAGATGGAACGAGGGATCACATGACATATTTAAATAGTCTAAGGATAACCTCGATGTCCTGGTCAATGTTCCTTCTCTCGATTAATGCCAGTGCTAATTAACTGGCACAAGTGTTCCTAGCCATATGGGGGATGTTGCTGAAAGCCGGCTGGCAGCCACAGCCAGCCACTACCTGTACGTAATTTAGTGCTTTGCTTAGTGCTTTGGGACGTCCATAATGGAACAGCCCAGCACAGAGAGGCGACGGTTGCAAGTGTTGTGATGTTTTCTTGTTTCTTTTGTGCACAGTATTCCAAATGTGGTTGAAAAACTAGAATTTGCATTGATTTTTTTTTTTTTGCAGGAAAGTGAAGCTACACTTGGTCCGTGTATGTATGTGGCCTCTTTGAGTTTCTGAGTAGCCTGTTAATTGATCTTTATTTTGATATCCTAATAATGGGTTGCTAACTCATTAATGATCCTCATTGAACCAGTGCTGTGCCATTGAACTATCTATTTGCCTTATGACTTGAAAAGTGAAGGAGAAAACTAGTTTAGCAAATAGTGACATGGTTTGGGAGTTCTGAGCCCACATCCAGCTATGCCTCTCATAGCAAGCAGGTGTACCAAGGGAGAGAGCACTGGATTTGGAGTCTGGTAATTTGAGGAAGAATCACATTCATGATGGTCACCAGCCCTGTGGCTTGGAAAATCCCAAGGGCTGGCTTGGGAAACAGCCTTTAGTTCCAACAGTATCTGCTAATCTTCTCCAAGCCACCTCAAATAAGGGTAAAATTGAAGTAAAAATAGGGTGACCATATAATTTATCATCAAAATGGGACACTTGAGAGTGAAAAGAAGAATTCACAGTAATTACTCAGGGACCACAGGCATGAAGCAGGACTATTCTGGGCACACTGGGATGTGTGATGTCCCTAAGCAAGGACAATGTGCTCGCTCTGCAAATGCAAGTTTGAGACCAAGTCCCTAAGTGCTCCCTTTTCCAACTAGATTTCAGCTGTGGGACGCCTACAGAGAAAGTCTGAAGGCTTCATTGCCTTGGGAAAATGCGTTGTTGAACCTCTCTGTCCCTCGGTTAAAGAGGGGCTTGCAGTACTCGCCTCTCAGAACTTTAGAAAGGATTAAGTATGTGCAAAGCATCTATGACCATGAGTGTCACACAGGCATTGTCTTTTGTAAATGTCTTGTCCCTCTGCCTTTCTTGTAGACAATAGGACTATATGGAAAACCATTACTATACCTTTTTAAAGGAAGGGGTGATAGTTTTGTATTCCCTACTAAATGCGGAGCCCTTTGATGGTAGCAACAGTGCTTCACTAATCACTTATCCTGACCACATGGCTCCTGGGACAGAGTACCTACTCAGTCAACATCTGTTGAATAGATGAACGAATTCAAGAGCAGAAGAATTACAGTCATTCCAGAGCAGGTGTTTGCAGATGGGGGAAAGTGTGGCTGCATTCTTGGCTGGTCAGACTTGAGCAGGCAGCAGAACACAGAGTGGTCTTTTCCAAATCGAAACTTAAACCAAAATAAGAAGGCTTTTCCTGAGAGATTGTCATAACTGAGGGAGAACTGGGTCCTTCTGTTCCCACTTGGCTTCCTGGTTCCTGCTGAGTTTCTGAAATGGACAGAAAGCAAGTATGGAGCCCAGCACAGCAGGGAGGAAGAAACACATGTAATTTCCCTTGTGCCTGCACTCTGCCTCCTGCCCTGGCGATTATGTAGCTGCTCTAGCAGGCTGCCTCATGCCCAGTGTGCAATGGACAGACCTAGGAACCTAAGAACGGCAGCTGTTACACTGGACCCAGAGGAGGGTGTTCTCCACATGCAATGGCTGTGAAACTTGACTTAGTGGCTACAGGTTTCCTGTATGTCCTATAGGGCTGCAAGCGAGCTTTGGGGAGTGGGGCATGAGCAGATATCCTTGGTGAGGATAAGGGTATAATCTGAGCAGCAGATGAGGTTGCAGGCTCTGGAGTTACACTGCCCAGGTTCAAATCCCAGTTCCACTATTTACTAGCAATGTGACCTTGAGCAGACTGATCAAATTCTTTAAGTGTCCATTTCCCCATCTATAAAACAATAATGATAATTATAGCTACCTGGCAGGATTATTTTGAAGGTAAAATGAGATAAGCTGTGCAAGGTACTTATCACAGTGCTTGGCACATAGTAGGCACACAATAGGTATTAGCTGCTACTTTCTGTGGTAGCACTAGTAGGATCTTCACTGTCGTCTTCATTATCAAAGGGTTTTGAACCTGACCCTTCCTTATACCAAATTCTGTCAATGAGGTGATTGCTTCCATATAGCTGGCACCAGGAAACCTCCAAGGGGGAAAAGTAGATATTGTAAGACAGGGAATTGTCACATCAAGTATATTACATGCTTCAATAGCCAGGGGCTGATTAGTATAAATCAAATTTCTCACTAACCTGCCAGAGGCAGATAGTACACAATTGGGCTCTGTGGGTTCAGTTTGATTGTTGTAAAGAGATATTTACACTAGAGGTGCCATGAGAATATTAAAAAATACCATCTTTGTAGCAGTTAATAACAATGATTTTATATATGTGTGTGTATATATGTGTTTGTGTCTATACATATATGTGTATTTTAACCTCCCTACCAAGAAAGAAATATATCCACCTGAAAACTACCCTCAGCTTGAAGGCCAAATTCATCTTGTGGGGGATCTGGGGGCGGGGGGAGACCAAAAAAGACTGGGAAGAAAAGAAAAACCCGACACTCTATCCCCTATACTTTGGGAGCAGGATTTATTTGCGTCCTCTTTTCATTCTGCATGTCTGTGTTGCACTGTACCTTTGCCGCTCTTCCTACTAATATTATTCTACTGTCAAGTTCCTGGCACGCCAGAGTAGGAAAGAATTTTTCTGTACTTTGAGCTTGAGCTGGGCACTGGGAAATCCTCTTGTCCTGGATTTGTAGCAACGCGAGGCCATTCTAGCTGAAGCCACTCTGCTCCGGTGCGTGGTATTTTGGCAATTGTTAGATCCAGCCCTGCCTTGGCTTGTGAGGGGCGCTACTTGATGTAGACAAAAAGTGAATTTCTTTCTTGTGCCCCCATTTGAGGCTTTCTCTCTCTCAAAGAAAATAGAACATGCTTTCATCTTGCCCGGCCCGGTGAAGAGAGATTTCCCAGACTGCAAGTCAGCATTTGCCCACACGGTTGTTTGGCAAAATCTATTTTTAAAAGTCTATAAATGCTACCAGCAGACAAAATGGGTGCTCTGTTTTTTTGGGGGAAAAAGGAGAGAATGTATACCCCATGATGTGCTGCCAAGTTAATGAAGCGAGAGTCATTTCCTGCGCTTCAAGTACCCTCCGGGAATCCTGAAGACACGCAGGCACAGTTATGCCATGGAGGCGGTGGCTTCTGCCCTGGGGAGGAGGGAGGGTCCCGCCTGTCACTCTGTGTCCACCTCCAGCTGTTCTGGTTTGTGCCAGTTCTGAATCTGTGGCCGCTTGTGACTCACATCTGCAGGTCACATGAGGCTGGCCATGATGACACCTGCGTCAGCGGCGCTGGAAATACAAACTCAGAAATCAGGTTAGGCTTCTTTTGTTCTTTTGTTCCTCCTTCCTTACAATGGGAGCAGAGTAGGAAGGTTTGATGAGCGTTTTATTAATCAGGAGTTTTGAAGAAACAAACTTGGGGACTTGGGGACGCTGAAAAGGCCCAGATTGAAGTGGAGATATAAAAAGCCGCTCTGTGCCTATCACACTCTCTGCCCCCTGGCTTCCCCAGCGCTGCGCTTTTGCTCAGGCCGCCGTCTGGGCAGGACCCCCTCGTCCCTGTCCCTTACTCTCCTTCCCCTTCTCTGGGCCCAGCTGTCATCTCACCGCCCCATCCTTTCCGTCTCTCAAACTCTACCCTCATGATTGCTTCTTCTGGGCCCTTGTCACCTCATCAGAGGCATTTTTAAGGCACCTCTCTATTGCTTTCCTAAGCGGTTCTTCAACTTCTCAGCAGTGGTTTTGTCCCTCGTCTCTTTAGCTAGATGGTAGATTCTCTGGAGAATAGAACGATCTCCTGTGCATCTTGATTATGTAGCCTGTGTGTGTGTGTTTATTTTCTTCTTTATTAATGATTTTAATAAGAATAATATATTTTCATTACCTAAAAACTATGAACAGAGATAAGCAAAAATAAATTTAAAATAATTGAAAATACAAGTCTTAAAATGGCAACCATTGTTCGTGTTAGGTGTATCAGTTCTTTATTTTTTTAATTTCAGAATATTATGGGGGTACAAACCTTGTGGTTCCATGGATTGCTTTTATACAGCTTGAGTCAGAATTATAAGAGTGTTCTTCACCCAGATAGTGTGCACTGTACTCGTTAGGTGTCAATTTACCCATCCTTTTCTCCTCTGTCCCACCTGCTTAATTTCCACTGAGTTTTACTTCCATACATGGGTGTATCAGTTCTAATATGTATATTTTTATTACTCCATCTGAATGATGGGGGCAGGGAGAGGGAGAGAGAAAGAAAGAGATATTACAGAGTACCTGGCACTATTCTACGGGCTTTATATATATTTACCTTTATAGGATATGTGCCATGACATTCCTTATTGTAAAGATTAGGAAATTGAGGCTCAGAGCTGTGAAGTGACTTGCCCAAGGTCATATAGCTAATAGGTGATACCACATGATAAACGTAGTATATTGCAATCTGGATTTTTTTTTCCTACTGGACAACATGATAATCCATTCCTTTATTTAACTGGTGCTTTTTAATATTTGGTGTGTATCACGCCTGGTGTTGGGAGATTTTGCACAGAATAGTATCAGCCTCTGCTCTCATGCAGTGGGGAGGTGGGGAGACAATTAAAAAAGCAAATAGGTGTGATGTGCGCTGTATGATGGGAGAAGTTCTGGGGACTGAGGGGGCCCAGGGCAGTGCCTAATCTAATCTGGAGGTGGTCCACATATTTATTTATCATCGTTGTTCATGACTGCATTCTCTCGAGTAACTTTTTATTTTAGAATCATTTTAGATTTATGGTAAAGTTGTTAAGAAAGTACAGAGAATTCCTCTAGGCTTGTACTCAGTTTCATGTAATTTACTATCTTATATTACTATGGACTGTTTGTCATAACTAAGGAACTGGTATTGGTACACGACTATTAACTAAACTCCACACTTCTAATCAGATTTCCTTAGTTTATTCCCTAATGTCCTTTTTCTGTTCCAGGATCCCATCAAAGACACCATGTTACCTTTAGTTGTCATGTCTCCTGGGGCTTCTCTGGGCAGTGACGGTTTCTCAGACCTTCCTTATTTTTGAAACCCTTGACAGTTTTGAGGGGTACTGGTCAGGTGCTTTGTAGAATGCGCCTCGATTGGGATTTGTCTGATGTTTTTCTCATGGTTAGACTGCAGTTATGGGTTTTTAGAATAAAGACCACACAGGTGAAGTGCCATTCTCAACACATCATGTTCAGAGTCCATGCTATCAACATGAATTATGATGATGTTAGTCTTGATCACCTGGCTGAAGTCATGTGTGTCAGGTTTCTGTACTGAGAAGTTATTCCTTACTCTCCTAATTTGTAATGTGCTTTTTAGAAGCAAGTCACAAAGTATAGCTCACACTTAAGGAGTAGGGAGTTATATTCCATTTCCTAGAGTGGGGCAGGATTGCATTTGTACATTGCCTGGTTGTTCCACAACTCACTCACCAAATATCCTATTGATAGACATTGCTATTTTTCCATTTTATCAACTATTACAAACAAAGTCACATGAACATCATTTACAAATGTTTTTAAACCCCTCAAATTGTCTTCTTTAGAATTAACCCCTCTATATAAATTTGGGTCAAAGTATAGACATTTAAGGAAAAAAAGCTTTAAATTTATACTGGTAAATTACTTTGCAGAACGGTAATACCTATTGGTACCCATGACTATCAGCTTCATCAAACCATAGCAATATTTTATATTATTCTTTTTAATTATTAATGATTCAATAAGCAGAGAATTTAGGCATGTAGTGGGTTACAATTAAAAGAAGAACACGGAGCCAAAGTCCTGTTTTGACTAAGAAATCAAAATTGTACTTCCTTATTTTATAATGAAACAAACTCAGGTTGACTAAAAAGTTAATTCAATGGGTATTTGCTGGGCCATGTGATGAGTAGGTAAATAGTCCCTACTCCCAAAGATATTTAAGCCTAGGGATGAAGGCAACATGAAAAAGCTCAAATTATTCAACAGGAAAAAGCTCAAATTATTCCTGCAAGTCAAATAATACTTACAATTCAAATTGTACTTACATTTATTCCATTAAAAATTCACAAAACACCTCTTTAGACTCTGTCTACATGACTTTTTATGCTGAAAAAAAGGCGGTGACGATTGCTTGAAGTATTTCTGTAGTGCTAAAATTTATTTAACATGAAATTTAGAGACCTACATAGATGGAGAGGTTATTGGTGCATGAAGAAACTCATACTCCAAACAGAAATTGTTTATGTAAATATTGGACTCTGAACAGATCTTTACTGAGGAAACCTGCCTTTGTGAGTTCACAGATGCCAAATGGGAGGTGATTATGAAAGAATTATGAGTTCCAAAAGGTAGTGTTATGTGCACCTAAGTTTAGATTCCTGAAGGGACCAATTTACTAATACTAAGTGTTTGAGTGCTAAATGGGATATGGTGAAAACAGAACCACACAGATTTAATAAGTATGGAAATGAATTTTAAATAAATAATAGAAATGTGGGTATTTCAGAAGATTGGGATTTGTTCTAAACTCTATACCTGTTGGGGATGATCATAATGTACTATATCTAGATATGTTAAACCAGAACAAAACAGAAAAAATGTGTACAGTATTAACAGCAAAAATCTACTAGTTTTGTTGAACCAGACCGTGAAGAATTGATAAGAAATTGGGAATAATTTTGATACAAGCAAAATCTCAATATTGATTGTAATTCCTTTCCCAGAGAGACATTTTCAGATGTTGTTCAGTGAATACAAAGACTTATTCCTAGTTTTTTCCCAATGGTTCCTTGTGTCTCCCTTGCACAGAGGACTGTGCTGTTGATGGTACAGTTTTAGAACATGCATGTATCAGGATGGCAAGAGGTGAAATTTGAAAGTCATTCCATTAGAGTGAAAAACCCATAAGATTGTGGTTCTTCTCTTTCTTCTTTATCCTTTGCTTTTTGGAAATGCACTATCTTCTTCAACAGAAAGACTATATCTGTATTATGTGATGTTTTGGGGTTGTTGATTTTAAGAGCTAAAGTCTTGGCCCAGTGTAAAGTACAGAGGACAAAGAGCTCTGGTTGCTCTCTGAAATGATGGCAGTTTTTTAGTTTCCAAATCTAGTTAAAAATCATTCTTAGTAGTACAGGTAAGCAGGAAAAGGACCAATATTATAGTCTTTCTTTATGAGGTAATTGTAGTGGTGGTCAGTATTGTAGCCTGGGTTCAGGCAGTGAGTTTGTTTAGCGACAATATCCAACATGTATCCAGGGAAATAACACCTGAAAGGATCGATGGATATGAAGCCCACTTAGTGGTGACACTGTGCCCCAGGACTATACATGGCCCCCATAAAGCTAGAACAGTCTCACATCAGAATTCCTGCTTCAAAAAGCAGCACTAGGTGCCCTCTGACATAGAAATCTGTCACCAGCGCCATTCTCCTTTCTAAAATGAGTATATGTGAAATGGAATATGTATGCTATCTATGGAGTTTATAAGTCCCTTTAGGGATGAGGTTAAAGGTGGGTCTTTATTTCCATTTTAGAAGGTGATCCCGGAATTCTTTGTTTATATCAGTAGCCCATCAGATCCAATCTGATGAGTATCACACTCTAATCTGAAAGTTGAGTTTTTACTTTCCCTCCTACAAATGGATTGGTTAATCCATTTTAGACATAAATCATTAGAAAAAAAATCTATTTTCAGTGATTCAGACTTTTGTTTTTGCCACAGTCCCTGATTAACAAACATTAAACATTATGAGCTATTCTAGGAAGCTACATTTTAGCCTATGGCTTGTGGACAGTTCTTTACATCTGGGGCTTTAAAGTTCATCTATTTCCTTTTCAGCTAAGTTGTGTTGTACAGTCTGCAAGGGAATAATCTTAGGCTAAGGGTTTTAAGTAGCGAGCAACCAAGGACCCAGGTAAATTAGAATGAGGACCCATAGACCGAGTCTTTGTGAGGCTTGGGTCTCATTTGTCAGAAAGCCCAGAGAACAAGACAGTTCTGTGAACTAAGTACAAACATTTAATAGATTAATTGAATTTTTTCACTTTCTTCTTTGTTGATGTCATCTGGTTTCATGATGCTGCTGTTATTAACCTTACAATTGCTGTTCATTTGAGATTATCATTACCATGTAGAGTTAATGAGTCAGTGAAGATGAGATGTTTCTTTTTTGTTTGCTTATTTGTCTTTTACGTGGTAGAAGGAACTATAATATATTCTAAAATGGAAATCTAGGATGTGCTTTAGTCTGTTCTTCCTCCTTTGGCAGTTGCCTATTGAGGTCAGCTGAGAAATCCCAACTCATCCTTTAAGACTTAAATGAAATGTTACCTCCTTCTGGAGTTTCCTTGAAGCTAATAGTAGAATTGGTACTTTTTCTCTTCCATGTTCCTTGTAGTATTTTCCTTAGTTCTTTGTTATAAGGTGGGGTTTGTTACATTGCTGCAGCTATTTACTACATATCACTTGAGATTCACAAGACAAGGGTGTTTTTGTTGGTTTGTTTGTTTTTTTTACCTCTGTGGATAAATGGAGGAGTGCATGGCAAATGAAGGCACTTAATACATCATGTTTGGTAAATTAATTACTGAATGAATGAAGACCCAGACAATTGTTATAGGTTCTAGTAAATCACTAATTACATTTTAGAAATTTGGATAAATTAGAGAAGTCTTAAGAACTTGGGGTTCTAGGGAAGACTCTAGGGAAGTAAAAGGATGTAAAACATATTTTAAAATCCATAGTTATTATATATAGATTCTGGACACGACACTTCCAAGTGAGGGAAGATGAGAAGAGATGGCTTAAACTAGTGAGAGTGACCCTTTTTTTCTTGTTGTTGAGAAGTAACATGCCATTTTTTAATAAAAGACCAATCTCTGAAAGTTCTTATTCTGTTTTTGCCTTACTAGTTATGTGTCTTTGAGTCTTAGTGTTCTCATAGATAAAACTAGGGTAATATCACCTTCTTTTCGAATTGCAAAGGTTAAATGATGATGTTGTATGCAAAGTGCCCAGCATGTAGTTAGATAGATGGTAGCCATTATTAGTGTTGAATCAGAGATGTCGCTAACTCCTAGATTTGTGGTATTTATCAGTGAGCTACCTCCTATTCCTTTTTCTATCTTTTCAAATGAGATGGAAATTCATTTCCCAGAGAATGTTCAAACATGGGCAAAGACAGTAAAAACTCTGAGATTCCTTACCATCATAGAATCCTATGACCATGATCATCTTTGAAATGAGCTTTGATTTTTTTTTTAGAAGGAAAATGTATTGAAATAAAAAAAAATAGTTATTGTTATTTTCTAAATGTTCTTTGACCCAGAGGGTAATAAGGTGAGATACACATTTCTTAGGATGCTCATTGCATTTATATGTTATTTTTGCCCATCTGTCAATGAATTAGTCTTTAATTTGGGCTGAGCCATTTTGGTATTTCAAAACAAACAAACGTATTCTGAAACAGCACAGAAAAATGTCATTATAGATTTTAATATGTTTACTATGCTTTATTTTGGAGGATTTTGATATGCAAAGTTCCTATTGAAATGCATAGGAGGTTGCCACCATTGATTTGAGTACTAAAAATAAGATGTAGTCATTTTCTTCTTCCTCTCCCACCCCCCCTTTTTTTTTCTTGTTTGAGTAATTGTATGGTAGAGAACTAAATGACAAGGAAAACAGAATGCTAAAAAGCAACACTGGGTAAGCTGCCCAGGCTGGGCAATCATTACCGTGGACCCCATCCAGCCCCAAATAGCCTCGTTGAGCATCTAAGCAAGAGCAGCTGTGGAGGCTTCTCCCTGATACCAAGGGGGGACCCTCGGGGAAGCCACAGGATGCCTTAGAGCTGCCAAGGGCCGACCTTTGCTGGGCAGCAGACACTGTCTCCTAGCAGCTTTTATTTCTCCTATATGAAGGTAATGTCCTGGAGGGATGCAAGGAAGGTTTACTTCCCTGCCATTATTTTTCACCACTTCTCTGACCTTCTAACCTTCTTTTTTGTTTGTTTGTTTCTAAACTTCTTGCTCATATCTCCTTGTTTTCTCTAAGTGATCCCCGCCTAATGAAAGGGGTTATGGTGCTACTACCACTCCATGGAGTATCCTTCTCTTCTTTAGGTCTCTTGCACTCCTATCCCTTGTTCATCGTGCTTTGCACATCACATTTTCAAGGGGATCTTCCTTGTCATCTTCAGAGTTAGTCCTTCACTGCTCCACACTTCCTTAGCAGTGTACATCTTAATCAGTCTCCTAGAGTCTGTTTTTCTGTCTCTCCTGCCATCTCCCTGAAGGCATGTCCTATTTGTTACTTTATCCTCCAGTAGCTACCTAGTATAACCTATGGTGCAGAGTAGGAGTACAATGACATAATGAAAGAATGCATAAATGAATGACCTGGAAAGTTGTTGGCCTAGGAAAAGATGTAAATATTTCCGAAGTGTCCCTTGCTGCCTTTACCTTCCAAGGAGGGACTTTTCATGGTTCCTCAGATTTACTATAACAGTTCTTACTCAGGATACTCAAAGGTGCTGAAATTAAATGCAAGATAAGAACCAGAAGAAATACTTAGCAGAAACCTATTTTTTTTTTTTTTACTGGTTTTCTTGTCCCTTTGCAACTCTTCCACTTCCTCAGCATACTTATTTTTTTGACCTCTCTGATATCTTGATTCTAGATCTCCTAGGACCCATTTTGGCCACTCCAAGCCTCCTATGTGCCACAGAAGCATTAGATAGTTTCTTTTGGACCCACCTCCAGCCCAAACTGTACTTATGCATATTGTTCTGACTTTGCAAAGTCCTATTGAGATGAATAGGATATTTGTCAAGGCATTTCCCTTTGGGACATTATGAAAAGGGACTGATCCTAAATAATAAAAAGTTGGATAATTGAATGGACTGTGATGATGAGGCAGAAAATATCACTATACTAAAGCTCTGCTCTTCCTCCAGGGGAGAGAGAAGCAGAGAGATCATTTCTGCCCCTGGTAGAAATGTATTAATGCTTTCAGACTTGCAAGGTGTAGAGTGGGAGTCTAATACCCCAACAAGTGAATTTATGTTCAATGATTGGAAAGTCAACTATACATTTTTATCTTTCTGGATGAAGTAGACCTGCTAAGGTTAGGCAGAAATTTTGCTTATATTAGTAGGAAAAAGTGTTGAAGGGAGTCAATAGAATTTATTCCCTGGGTTAGTTTTTTTTTTTTTTTTTCCCCCAGCAAAAAGAAAAAGGAAGTTGGAGGCTGCAAATAGGGACTCTTGGAAATGATCCACAGTTCTACCTCTGGCTTACGGCCAATTTTACTTTGGGCAGAAGTGGTGGAACTTTTTGCCCCAATTTCCTGGTACAGATGGGATCAACAGCACTTTTGAATGCATCTGCACACATTGCATGAGGATATTTTGAAGAGTATTCAGCTCCCTATGTCAGTAGAAGAAAGACATTAAATAAATGAAAGCTGAATTTTACTTGTGAAAATACCAAGGAGGTAGCAAAAGCAAGACAAACCAGGAGAAGCTACACAGTAACCTTGGGGATATTTTAATCTTATAGTATCTCCTATCTTCCTCTCTCTCTGTTCTAAAAAAAAAGAGGCATCATTCTGCCGACCATGAAGTTGTGGTTTGTTGCTGCAGCAAATGCCCCTCATGGTACCTGTCATGGTCTCTAGTCTTCTTGTGACTTTGCTCAGAAGGGCCTCTTTGTTCTTGAGCATTGCCTAGAAGTCTATGCCTGTGATGTTTGCTACATGCAGGGGCTGGTGCTTTGCCTCATTTGGGGAGCCTTTTTTTTGCTTGTATTTGCATAATTCAGCATCCTCATTCATTCTGCTGCTTTCCACGTCCTGTTGGCTGCCAAGCTTCAGTTCTTGGAGGTAGCAGAGTAGAACCCCAAACCAGACTGCCTGGTTCATATTTTGGCTCTGTCACTTAGTAGCTGTGTGATCTTTCACAGGTCCCTCAACATATCAGTATAAAGTAGACCTAAAACCAGTGCCCATGGGTGTCTTGGGGATTAGACATGCTAATATATGAAAATGACTTAGAACAGTACCCACTACATAGTAAGTACTCAAAACATGATAGTAATTTCACCTTTTGGAATCATTTTTGTGAATCTTTTGTATCTAAAGGCTTTGCAATGATTTTGGTTTATTTAAAATTAAATAAAATTGATTACCCTTTTTTTTCTGGATGTGGGCATACATTAATATGCAATAATGTCAATATTTAATATTCATTAAGTTAATAAAGATGTACCAAAAAGTCTTACATGTTAAGAAGATAAGAACACATAAGCCATTTGCCTTATTATCTTCTTGAAAAAATAGAATTAAAGTCTTGCATTTATATGCGATCAGCATTTAGATTTTAATCAACTTTGCAACTTTTTTTGAAGGTTCATGTCTAATTTTTATACTAGGGCATAGTTAGTATAATGCAGTATTTAAGAAAATGAGCTTTAGATTCAGATAGCTCTGAGTTTGAATCCAGGTCCTGAAACCTACTGGTTTTATTACCAGAGGCAAATCATTTAAGCTCCCAATGCCTATTTGTTTCCTCATCTATAAAACAGAAATACTAATGCTTATCACATGGTTTATAATTATGGTAAAATTAGATACTTCATGCAAATAATTTTGATACCTGGAATGAGGAAAGTATTCTATAGAAAAAGTCACATTGCATAACTTGGAGTTGTGCAATAGGTGGTCCTGACACAAAAATTGATATCTTCTAACATTATCGTTATGATGATACAGCTAGGAAAAGTACCTGTGAGCCAAAAATACTTGGTCATTTGCTCTTTCTCTGCCAAGTGTGTAAGCAGAAACAAAATGGCCAAAATTGGTATATTAGATACTACCGGATGTTGTCTCACTTTAATTTCAGCAATTTATATCTGAGAGGTTTCCTGAGTGTGTATTGCATTTATTAATGATCAGGTCTGTGACCCTTATGAAACTTAATGGGAGAAAGGGCAGGCGTAATCTTTTCTTGCTGCATGTCCTGGTTGTCAGTGCTTGGTCCTGCCCGCCCCACCTCCCAGGCACGCGGGTATTGTAGGCAGCTCTTTCAGGAGGTGGCACCAGGACACCAGTAGTATTTTGCAAGAAGGATCCTTGGCTTTGCCTGTGGAGCAGAGAATGTGATCCCCAGCTGGGAGCCAAACCACAAGCATGTGAGCAGAACCTCGAGGTTGGTTTCTGCCCAAGTACATGTAGGGGAGTGTTTTAGACAGGGAAGCTTTGTGAAATGATACAGCTCACATGCAGAGACAATCCCACAAAGTCTGGTGGGATACTCCGCCTTGGTTCCAAAGGAGAGAAATGCAGTAGCAATTGTTTTTTGTTTACATAGAATCATCTCCATTAGAAAGAGAAACTGCTCAACTGCTCATCCACTTTCTAGATCTGGGGTCTCGGGCAAGCCGTTCAACCTAGATGAGCCTCAGTTTCTTCATTTATAAATTGGGACTAATAACAACTGCTCTACCTATATCCTAGTGTCAGGCCCAGAGTTGTTGCTCAACATTAGTTGTAAATAGAGCCAATATGTTGGGCTTCACCAGCATGGGCCATGAATTTAGTTATGTCTCTTGTTATTCTGATTAGTCGAGAGAGTCTCAGGTGCTATTATTAGCAGGAAGTCAAAATATCCATGAAGTCTGTCCATCATCTTACAGATTAGAATCCTACTTGTTCCAGAAATAACTTGGGGTTGAGTTAGTTCAGAGAACTCAGCTTTTTTTTTTTTTTTTAACACCAGGCTGTGAGGGGAGAAGTGGATGCCATGCCATTGCTGCGTAAGTTGACACCACACGGTGTCACTGTTGAATGTTGATCCTGTATAGCATAGTGGAGGCTCGTCCTCTGCTCTGTAGGGGCCTTCACTGCTGCAGGTATCTATGCAGACCCAGTGATATTCCCTTGTTTTGGCTCCAAGTTACCACTTTCTTTTGTCCCACTCGCACCCTAAGTTAGTGCTCCTCATAGCAGTGTACCAAGGACAGGGTATAGGTTCTAGGCAAGTGTCTGTTCTCAGCCAAGCCTGCCTTTCCCCATGTCACCCATTTAGGCTCCCCTACCTTTCTGTGGGTCCTTCTTTTGGACCTTAGATGAGACTGCCCCATTCTACCAGAGGGATTCCAATAACACTGGACATCAAATATGACCTTTTCAATTTTTCTTTCCAGGGGTCTCCTTAGCCTCTATGCCCATTTGTTCATCTCTCCCTAGTGGGCAGTTCTGCATAGCAAAGGATATTGGCCTCACGATTACTTCTTTCCCTGAAGGAACTGGTGCCCGTGGGCCTCATGTTTACATCACCAAAGAATGAGTTGCTTTGCCCATCCCAGACAGATGAGTGGCTGGCAGTTGTGGTTGCTGGTACCCTGTGGCACATGAATGATTAAGTCATGCATCTGAAACCAGCCTTCCAAACTACAGAACCCATATAAAAGTAAGCCATTATGATTATTAATAAATGGGCAGCGATGATTTATACACAGGGCCCAGGCAAGGCTAGCTCTTATAAACTTCAGGTGATAGCCAGAAAGCTGTCGGAAATAACATGCTTTCTAGCCTCTCAGAGTGTGCCGGGCCAGTAGGCTATTTTTCTTAATATTAAATCATGTTTCTTCTCTTTTTTCCATTCTCCATGTGCCTCTGTCACCCATTTTCACATCAGTTTCTCGTGCTTCAGCGTCATAAGCTTCCAACAGGTAGGAAGGAGGTAAGCAGGTGAGTTAGTCCAACAAACCAACCATTTGCATGCTAAGGAAGAGAAAGCTGCAAACACATACTCCTGGAAGCCAAGTGAAAATAATAGTATTAGTCACTTACAATGCACCAGGCATGCCTGCTTTATCTATCTCATTTAATCTTTGGAACAAACTCAGGACTTTTTTTTTTT